TTGGCAAAATTTAAAATGTAAAAAGCAAATAATATTCTTGTTAATTCAAGAATTGTTAAATTTAATGAATTAACAAAGTAACATAATAGTGAAGAACTCGAACACGTATTTTGATTGGCAATTTTTCAACCATGTGTTGCAGATCATGTGCTACAGATCGGATGTGGCGTTTTGTGGCTAAGCCGGATGCGGAATGTTAACAGAACTTTCTGAGAAGATATACAAGAATAGGTTCATCAGATTGGTAAGCGACATTTCTCTTTAAGTTGCTAAAGTGTACCGTAAATTTTGGCATGATAAATTAATTTTTTATTTTCACTCATATAATCAATCACCTTATTAAAGTATTAGAATCTTGCAAAGGGTCGATTTTCACGAAAAAAATTAATATTATTATTAATTCGTGTTTGTGCACCAAAATATTGATCTCGAATTGTGTCATCATAATCTGGTTCGGATTAACAAATGAATAAATAGTTTTTTCAAACTGAAAATTACTCCTAAGAACTAAATTAATCGTGCTGATTAAATTAGCCAATCGCTCCCATGACTATTTGGACTAAATTACGAGTATCTCTTCTGGTACCAAGGTTTTTTAACATTCACAAATAAAATACAATAATAGTTATCAACAAAAATAGCTATGGATTCGCTCCCGGTTGTTGTTGCGCCGCAGTAGCAGCCTGTTGTTGCATCAACTCTTGATTAAGCTCGCCAAATCGTAGACTGATCCGTTCATTATACTTTATGAATTTTTCGGTACATCGGAGGACACATGTTTCCTATATATTTAAAATATTGGTTATTTTACCTACTTGGTAATGTTTATAATTACTCATGATTAAAAAAACTTTTAATCGGCTAAAAGTGTATATATTGTTTTGTATTTACTTCTTTTGTAGTCAATGCTTTCGAGGTAAAATCATTAACGCAGTCATTAAAGCAACGTTCCACGAGACCAGTATAAAATTTCATAAAATCACGCATCTTTGTAAAAATGATAAATTAATAAAATGACAACGCATAATCAAATGTATAATAATATCTAGAGATTCTTGTTAATTTATTAATTCGATCAATTTTCACCTGTTTTTGTTCAATCAATCTTTGTATATGTGCACGTTCAGCATCGTTAAAAGTCGAAAAATCCATTTTATTTTATATCAAAAGAAATTTGAAGATTCAAGGTTTTTATACATGTACAAATTTTAGATCAAAAAACGCGTTATACCTGCAGATAGATCGTCATCCAATAGCAAAATTTTCAGTTAGCAATTAACGTTCTCGTCAAAATTTCCATTATGTCGTCACGGTCAGGAGCATTATCCAGCGCAGCAACCACAATAAGGATACTTATACCGGCGGGAAAAGCGACACCTACACCACCACTAGGCCCCGCACTCGGACAACGTGGTGTCAAGGCAATGGACTTTTGCAAACAGTTCAACGACCGCACAAAAAACGTGTTACCTGAAGCTCCGATTCCGACACTTATCAATGTACGTTCGGACAGAAGTTTTAGTTTCGTGATAAAGAATCCACCGACTACATGGTTTCTTAAACGTGCGGCTGGCGTGGAAAAAGGGGCCTCGAAACCGGGCAGTGAAATTGTGGGTAAAGTTACACTTAAACACGTTTATGAAATTGCAAAAGTTAAGAAACAGCAGACAAATATGCAACATTTATCATTACGAGGTGTTGTGAAGTGTGTGGTAGCAACGGCGAAGAGTGCGGGAATTGAAGTCGTTAATTAAACAATGCTATGAAATATTGAAGTAAAAAATATTGGAGGTATGAAAAAGGAGAATTGGTATTTTTTATATTTTTATTAGTCTTAAAGTATATCTGTACTATTAATTTTTTGCACATTATTTCTGTAGCAACACGAAAGGAGAAAAAAATCAGTAAAACTCTGAATCATATCAATTGACCAAATGGAATTTCGTACCTCGACAACATTTTTACATAGAGAAACAAGTCCAGAACAATTTCATACAACACACATATCGTCTTTCTCATCATTTATTTTTTACTAGCATTGTTCATATCTTCCCCGAAAGTGAACGCGAAAAACTCATCACCATCCGCCAAAGCGCCCAGAACCCAATCTGGTTCTTCACGCAAAATGGCATTGATTTCAGTGTGGTCAATCTTTTTGAATCAAGTATATACGCGCGTTATTTTTAATTATTAATATTATCATAATAATTAAATACGTACCATAAAATCAGTATGAATAATCGATGTATTCTTATCGATACGCAACTTGCAATTTTGAAAATACGGGATTCCGCTCACAGAAATAAGATCACTTGCATACTTCCTAATCTTTACAGGATCACAACTGACGAATGGAGAAGATTTTTCCATTGTACGCACGGCATACGGATTCGCTGACACCAAGCCAACAGCAAACAATTTGCAGTCTATTTCACGTGCAATATGACAAAGACGTTTTCCGATTCCGTAATGACGATGGTTTTTGTGAACGACAAGATGTGTAATCTGTATTATATATTTTGCTTGATTAGCTATTGTTGATTGCAGTATACATAAACGACTCACCTAGCGAACTATCACAATTATTATTATTATTATTATTAATGCATAAATACCCATGATACATAGCCTAAAAGAATTGAAAAGAAAAAATTGCATAGAAAGACGGAATAGAAGTAACCACACCTTTCCTTCTATCATGCAGAACAAAAAAGAGAGACCAAATGAATCTTTACCTCCGCCTTTTTCATACCAAAATCTCGTAACAAAACATTGCCCGATCAACTCGCCATCACTTCGGTGTGCAGTAACAATATAGCTGTTTTCTTTTTGAAGTAGAAATCGCTCTTTTAACTGATTAACTCGTAACTTTATAGGTGTTTTTGGCGTGACATCTTTTGCATTGGGAGCCCATACCCCGAAATGCTCAGAATAAAATCTTGCACACTCTTGAAGCAAACCCTCATCAGCCATGCAGCCTTGGCGGCGCATGTATATAACGTACGGATCAGTCACTTTTATGCTTCCGACAAAATCCATTTTTCTGTTGAAATACTGAGAAATTATCGTGTATTATATATATAGAGCTATGACTCATCATTAGATGTTCAACTCTCGCGTGATCCAACGGCTGATCCAAATTTTTTATATCTAAGTTCAAGAATGGATAGAAGACGCATTCCAGGTCCCGAGACTAGCGTCTCCCCTATTATAGAAAGGTCAGAAGATGCGAAAGAGACACCTACTCTCGGTGAGGGCGACAAAAGACACGACGGAAGAAAAGTAGAAGATATTCGGCCAATTTGTATTTTTCACTCTTTTCATTCGAACTAAAATACCAAATATACAAAAACGTTGATGTTAAGCTCTATTTTTTTATTAGTTTTGAAAACTGGTCTTATAACACAAGCAAATGGTTCGGCATACATAGAATTATGTGAAACTAAAATAGCTTGTGCCATGTATGGTAGTCAGTTTTTAATTATTTTCGCGTACTTTTTTTTTTACATATATATATGATTTTATATTATATAGCTATGGACCCCGCCAAACAAAATTACCAGCATTTAGTGGAAAAGGAAATTTAAATTGTGACTTCAAATTCGCGTCGTTTTCGTGTGCTAAACGACGATCTAATCATCGAGTAAGTGCGTTGCGACTTCTTGACTTTTTAATCAAAGATTTTAAGATCTTAAATCAGCTCCTCCAAACTTCAATATTCTATAAATTCATTTATAATTGATTAAAAAGGATCCACAAGAAAAAGAATTTTCTCAACTTTTATATGAAGCCTTAGTACCATCACTACGACTCGACCTCTTGCCAAAATCCACGATCGACGTCTATGTATCAGTGATACAAAACGACGGGACAGCATCGTGTCTTGCCGCGGCCATTACTTGTGCCTCAATGGCACTCACTGATGCAGGGATAGAAATGGTGGATCAAGTTGCAGCGTGTGCAGCGGTAATTAATTATTATTCATATATAAAAAAAATATTACTATCGTAGACCCGCGTTCATTATTTAATTGTTCCCGTTAGTCGTATATAAACGACGAGATATTTATCGATGGCGATTTTTTTGAAGAACAACGCGAGTCTGGATCGATTGTACTTTCTTATATGCCTTCATTGAACGAAATTACGCATATTATACAGTCGGGAGAGGTTGATGTTGCCACTACTTCTCAGGTAATTTTATTCATGATTAACATCATTACATTACATCAAATTTAATAAATTATTTATATGCTAGGCTGTTGAACTATGTGTCGATGTCTGCTCTAAAATATATTCAGTGATGAGACATAGTCTACTAGAGCCTGTCAAGAAGCAATAAAATGATATCAGATCTAGGTAATTTAATGACTGAACAGAAATGATGCAGTATTATTTATCTAATTAACAAAAGTTATTACTATAAATTTTATAATGTACTGGTATTGTTTTCTTTTGGATGATGATTATAATATTGATTCAAAAAAAAAGGTCCTCTCGAAAGTAAAAACCATTAACCATATGAACCTTTTTAGTGTTATTGACTCGAATCTCAGTCTGGACAAAACAAGAACTTATTAAAGTCTGGCTGCTGCAGATAACGCTGTTGCAGCTCTTGACACATTTTTTCGACCCAGTTTTTCGGAAATGTAATTTCCCACTTGAACAAGTTCTCTTAGATTTACTCCTGTTTCGAAGTCCATGCCATGTAGCATGTATACTAGATCTTCAGTGGCCACATTACCTGTTGCTCCTTTAGCGAAAGGGCATCCACCTGTGGATATTCGAATGGAGAGAGGTAAGAGAATTAAATAAACTAAAAAAATTCATTATATTGAAAAGTCATTTAACGTTACCTAAACCTGCAATCGAACTATCAAAAACTCTTACACCAAGTTCTAAAGCACAATGAATATTGGCTAGTGCTTGGCCATATGTATCGTGACAATGCATTGCCAATTTATCAACTGGGACAACCTTAGCAACAGGCTTAATCATTTTTTTCGTCGACCCTATTATCGATTAATATTTTTGATTAGGCTTGAAACTTATTCCAACTTGACTTGTATATATTATAAATCTATAGTAAAATCAATTACCCGGAGTCCCGACACCGATCGTATCACCTAATGAAATTTCATAACACCCCATCTTGTACATTTTCTCTGCTGTTCTTGCGACCACCTCTGGTTCCACGTGTCCTTCATACGGGCACCCAAGTACACACGAAATATATCCTCGTACCAATATTCCATCTTTTACTGCTCGATCTACAACCACCCGAAATCGCTCTAGACTTTCGTCGATTGTGCAATTAATGTTCTTTTTACTAAATGTTTCTGAAGCGGCGCCGAATATTGCCACTTCTTTTGCACCGGCAGCTATTGCAGCCTCAAGACCAAAAAGATTCGGTGTCAACACCGAATACCGAACATTTGGATATTGGGGAACCAGTGACATTACTTGACTTGCGTCTGCCATCTTTGAACAAATAAAATAATAATATATATATACTATTAATAATAGATTCTATCAGCAGGACAAAGCATGACAAAGCATTTACGTATATCGATGCGTGCGAAACTTCGGAATACCTGTGGAACCCATTTCGGCGAAACAAAACTTGTCGCTTCAATAGATTTTAGTCCAACCTTTGCCAATTTATCAATCAATTCGACTTTTACATCAGTCGGCACTAATTTTTCTTCGTTCTGTAGCCCATCACGTGGTCCAACTTCGACAATTTTCACGTGTCGCTGTGATCCTATTGCTATCTGCGGACTCCAGGTCTTTTATACAAGTAAAACGTAAAAAATACCAATATCATTAAAAAAATACATTATTTATAGTTTTTCTAAACCAACATATCCATTCTAGGTACTTGCAAACACCGTGGTAGCGTTGAAGATTGTGCAAGATATTTTTTTTTTAGTGAAATTGAATGAGCTCGCGGATAAGCAGTCCGTAATGCTATTCTAACAGACATGTTAATTAAATTTAATAAAAGGTATTTATTGTTCGAGTTTATTGAAATTTTATAATTATCAGTCACACGATTTGTCACATGCAAAAATTGAACATATGATGTCGATCAATTTTTCGTTTAAAGTCGTGGCAAAGAGCCTTTAAGATTATAATCCAATTCAAATTTGAAATATTAATTTATTTCAGCTAAATGACTCTTAGGCAATTATATTTAATAATTGCTACAACGCTATGAACAATAAATCATTTTATAATGTGAAAAAGAATAAAAGAGTAAAAAACAAATAAATATAAAAGCAAACAATAATTATTAATTATTTTTTTTTAGTAAAAAATCAAATGATAATCTCATCACATAATGTATCAAATGATAATCTAATATTTTTTCATTTTAGATTAAAACAAGTTTTTATATTGTTTATCATTTTTAAATTAAAACAAGTTTTTAACCAATCATAATAATTAATTTACATCATATAATTCATCATAAAGATGATTGTCTAAATTATTTTTGAAAAAAATGATATTTGGCAAGTAATTCAATTTTGTTACATTGCTTATATTAATGAATATTTAAAAATCATCTAAAAATACTTGTTTTAGTTTGTAGAATTCAAATAATTTTGAAAAACAATTTCAGTTACTAATAAAATCAATCAAAATAATTTCAAATTTAATTTTGGCAAATTATTTAATTAAGTTACATCATTTCAGAGATCATTTTTAATTCATCAAATGATAATTCAAAGAAAAATAATATTTTTTTCATATTGTTTATCAAATAGAAACAAGTTTTTAACCAATTATAATAATAATTAATTTATATTATTATTATCATTATTATTTTTTTTTATTGCTAAAGTGTAGTCTTATTTACAGTAATGTCTAATCTAGTATATATAATACAAATGATAAGAGCTAAATTACTATAAACTACCAAAAATCTGCATTAAAAGAATTCAGTACGATTAATCACCAGTGACCTGTCGAAGCCTACACAGAATCCAAAGGATCCATCAAATTGTCACTGAAGATTTTCAATTTGACGATGTTAGTAATGTTGATATTGTTACCATATTATATGAGTTCTTGGGAGAGTTGGTGAGTGCTTAATAATGTTATAATAAGTTACTTGGCCAGGGTAATTATAGTAAAGTTTATAAGAATGACAGGTGGAAGAGTATAATATAATCAAATCTATATAATGCATCAAGCATTAAACTATAATTATAAACGAATTTAAAGGAAGGTAATAGTATGTTCATGACATGGTCAGCTAGAGTGAGATCTGGGATTTTTAATGATAGTGTTTAATTAAAGGATTTATATAATAAATATGTAATTTCATTATAAGATTATAATTCAATAATAATAAAGTAT